ACCCTTGATTGCACGAGTTGATAGTAACGGTGTTCTTCATGGAGGACAGACTGCTAATCCCCCTCTCAATGAAAATGGGACTCCTCATGCCCGCGCTATCCCTGATTTGGTTATCCCTACTGCTGGAGGGAATGGTAATGGTAACGGCAATGCTGCTGGTTCTGACAATGCTACTGGTTTCGATAACATTGGTTTTTGGAATCCTGGAAATGATAATGCTGCTAACGGGAATGTTCATGGGCCTGGTGTCGCCTGTGCTGCACATGGTAATGTGGATCAGTTATGGAATGAAGACAGACAGGATGATGTGTTCACACCTAGGGCTGTGGTTGCTGAGTTGCCTTCTGAATCTGATAGGAGGATCAAGTTGATTGAGGAAAAGATGAGGTTTCTGGAGAACCAAAATGCCATGGGCCTTGATATGGCTAATCTGGGACTTATCCCCGACCTAAAAGTGCCTATAAAGTTCAAAGTCTCAGACTTTGACAAATATAAGGGTACCACATGCCCAAGAGTTCACCTGCACTCTTACTACCGGAAGATGTCCGTGTATTCGGACGATGAGAAACTGCTGATGCACTTCTTCCAGGATAACTTGTCCGGGTCGTCCCTTGAATGGTACATGGGGTTGGAGCCCATCAACATCCGAAGCTGGAGGGATCTGGCTGGGGCCTTTGTAAAACATTACCAATATAACAGTGACCTTGCTCCCAACAGGGTCCAACTTCAGAATCTTTCCCAACGGAATAATGATTGCTTCAAGGAGTACGCCCAAAGGTGGCATGAACTCACGGCAAGAGTACAACCTCCAATGGTGGAGCGTGAGTTAATCGATCTGTTTGTCGCTACTCTACCTGGTGTTTACTACGAGAAGCTCGTCAGTAACATGTCGGGTAGCTTCTCTGATTTGTTAATCACCGAAGAAAGGGTGGAGAACAGCATCAAGCTCGGGAAGATTCAGTCAAGCCAAGTGCCCTCAGCTGGAGGAGGGATGAAGGCGTTTGGTGGTAAAAAGCGAGAGGGTGAAACTAGTTTTGTGTCTAGTTCTCGGGGAAGGGGAAGATGTCAGTCTTGGAATAATCAACGTCAACAGGTCGCCAGTATAACAATTCTTGCCATTCCACAATAACCACAACAACAACATTAATCATGTACTTAACGGTTCTTGAGAACATCATGGGTTGCATTCTCGGTCAACACGATGAGACCGGGAGAAAAGAGCACGCCATATACTATCTGAGTAAAAAGTTCATAGATTGTGATTCCCGTTACTCGATGCTTAACCATACAACTATGATGATTTTGAAGATGGATCCGATCAAGTATGTCTTCGAAAAGCAAGCGCTTTCAGGTAGGATTTCCATGTGGCAAATGGTACTGACAGAGTACGACATTCAGTATGTTTCTTAGAAGGCCATCAAGGGAAGTGTTCTGTTAGAGTACCTTGCTGAACAACCTATCAAAGACTATCAACCAATGAAGTTTGAATTTCCTGACGAGGACATCATATTCCTTAAGATGAAGGATTGCGAAGAGCCATTACTCGACGAAGGGCCGGAGAGGAGTTCTCAGTGGCAATTGATATTTGACGGTGCTGTTAATTCGTACAGAAGTGGAATTGAGGCAATCATTACGACTAGAGTTGGAAAAACGGGCTACCCGACCCTTGACGGGCTGGCCCATGATGGGCTCGGGCTTTGTGCGGGTCGGGCTAAAAAGCCCGAATTATAAACAGGTTCCAATTTGATTTACCAAACCCGACCTTTCACGGGCTACGGTTTTTCGGGCCGACCCGATTTGTATTTATATATATTTAGAGTGTTGCTTTGCACAAATTATTCGACATCGATGTCCCAGAATAAGTTATACTGTTTATATTTGTAACATGAATAGGGAAATGATATATCATAATGTGCCATATTATTCAACCCACAAAAAAAGAGATATTTCCAAATTTATTTATTGATGTATCATGTAATAAACACCAGAACAAAACCAAGCAATACACAAGACAGTTCTATCAACCCACAAAAAAAGAGATATTTCCAAATTTATTTATTGATGTATCATTTATTCATGTATCAATGCTTTACTAAACACACATATATATAAGTAAACATATTCTCAGAACATAAGCAAACAAACACCAGAACAAAACCAAGCAATACATAACACAGTTTGTCGTAATGGCCTCTGCTCAGTGCTACAAAACTTGTGAACAAAGCTGCCAGCACAAAAACAACTACCAGCAGTAGCAACAACATAGCTCAATTGGACAGAAGGTAACTGGCTTGTTCAAAGGACAGGTACAACTCTTGGGAAACAAGATCAATTACACTTATTATGATAATGTTGTTTCAGCTCTTGGGAAAATATGCCAGTTTCACCGCGATAGCATAAATGCAGCACAGGTACAGCATACATGTTTTTGATCTTAGTCTTGCATGCGATCATAATATCACTTGAGCAAGTACAGGTTGTTAGTCATACTTCTTGAGTTTTCTGTTTTAAAACTACTTCCTGTAATGAAATTCTGATTATCACATCTATGATTTTGACTTGCATTTATTCAAATCCAGTCTTGGCAATATAAAGGGTTGTCACTTTCAGCTTTTTCCAAATATTACACATGGCTTCCTATATAATAGTATATTAAATGCATAAAACTACTATAAGATATTTATGGATCATGGTTTCACGTCCACTCAGTAAAACTTAATGATATTGCAAGCCACTTAATATTTTTGTAACACTAGTCGAAGACACAAGTTTAACACTAATTTGCATGCCACTTGTTTTCCTTGTAGAAATGAGATTTAGAGCAAACATCCACCCTGCTTGTTTGTTTTGATTTGTTACTTCATTGATCATTTCTTGAGTGCAGGTTGTTCATGCCTGGCTAAGTTGCTTGCCTATAAAAGGTGATTTAATTGAGGCTAAAGTTGTACACGACCTACTTTGCTCAATGGTTGAAAGGTAGAAGTCTTATCCAGAACATGTTTTGATTAAATACTTTATATCTAATTGTTGTCTCTACTTCCTGTTGACTAATGACTTTAATGTGTTATACATTTATTCAATTTCAGATCTGATAGAGAACTTATAGGTCAAAACGATCAATATCTTCCCAAGATTTATACAGAATTAAAGAAAGAAAAGTCTATTAAGAATGGAAAACCAGAGAAAAACTAACCAATAAACTGAAGCCAGTGGCAGAAGCAAAAGAAGTAGCCATGGAAGCACCAGAAAGAGATAATTCACCAAGATGACCAACAAACATAACAGAAATAAGATCGATACCAAAATTCAAAAGCGTAACTGAAATTAACGGTCCTGATAGCCATAACTGTTTTTTCACTTCTTCAATCAATTATCTAATACATCACATAAATCATCCAATAATAAAACATAAAAGAGAAGAAAGCAAATAAATAAAACTCCACCTCTACTAGAAGACTATAGGGATCTCAGCTCACAAGAAACCACCATCAACTCAAACAAAGTTCTTCATAAGAAGTATCAAGAATACTCCACAACAAGAACAAGATCAATTACACTTAAGCTGCTATTGATTCACGCATAAAGAAAATAGATTTTCCAGCCGTGCATTGAAACTTACAAGGGAAGCAGGATATGATCATGATAACCAGAATGGTGGAAGCATATTTAACCTCTATTTTTTGCACTTCTGTTGTGACCTATATATCCTGTACATCAACTAACAGTTTTACTACTGGGCTGCACAGTCCAATATTTATGCTCGAACGATGCATTGTCGAGGTAACCAGAGATCTCTGTAACACGGGAACTCCAAAATGCTTGCAAAATACTTGCATAATTTATAATTCTGCATAAATCAAAAGCAGAGTACATTTGGTTAAGTAATTATATGATCATAATTTATAATGCTTGCAAATTATATGGTTGTATCAAAATTATGATAAATAATTATACCTTTGTTTGGCTAAGTTGATCAATAATTATCCGAAGTTTTCTTGACGAATGACTTCACGCTTATCTTCATCTTCATCACTGTCAATATCATATTCTACAAAAATAATATGTCATATATCTTAAGCTAGTATATCATTTTATAATCTATAAGTCGTTATTCTAAAATTAAAATCCGTACCTACAAAACCATGTAGCCAACTACGTGCGCACATGAGAGCTTGAACGGTGTCATCTTTTAAAGAGCTTCTATACTTGTTCAAAACTCGAGCACCAATGCTAAAAGCAGATTCTGATGCCACCGTGGTTATTGGAATGCTTAATACATCACAAGCCATCTTTGCAAGATCGGGACATCTTCGACTTCTCTCCTTCCAAAAAGCTAATATATCAAAACCAATTGAGGGTGGAAGCCTTTGCTCGGCTAAATAAACATCAAGTTCGGATGTTCCCATGACACTAACTGTTTGGCTTTCATACTCTTCAAATTCCTACAGATATATTAAGAATTATGAAATTCCTACAAATTTAAAAAATGTTAATGAAACTATGAAAGTGCTAAAAAAATTGATAAAATTAACTTACTTCATATACATACAATGATTTTGGCATCTTTGCATTGCTTCCTCCATATGAAGAATTAACTTGTTGTGAATGTCTTGTATTAGAAGAATGACTACCATTTTTAACATATTCTTCATACAATCTTGACAAATCATTCTTGACAATCTTCAACTTCTCTTCAGCTTCTAATGGATCAACTTGTTTATATGCAAATGACAAAAAATTTAGCTTCTTGGTTGGATCTAATATAGCCCCGAAGGCTAATACTGTACTATATTCGCTCCAATACTTGTCAAATTTCTCTCTCATTTTTATAGTCATACTCTTGATCACACAATCTTCACTTGTCAAATTTGACTTCAAAAGACATTTTATCTTCCATATTTCTCTTATATACAAATTTGATGTTGGGTAAGAAGATCCAGATATCAAATTTGTAATATTGTAAAATGGCTTCAAAACTTCACAAATTACTTCAGCTCTTTTCATTCAACAATACTCGGACATAACTTGTAATTTGGATCACACAAACTTAACCTATAAAAGGCATGCTGATAATTAATAGCACTCTCAAGCATGATATAAGTGGAGTTCCATCTAGTGGGGGTATCAGTCCTCAATCCAATTGATGTATCAATTCCATCAACATTGTTAACACAATGAAAAAATTGAATTGTTCTACTTTCTGATGCCCTCACATAATGCACACTTTGTCTAATTTTATGTAATGCATCACTTGCCACCTTTAATCTATCTTGAACAATAAGATTCAAGACATGTGCACAACATCTAATATGAAAGAACTCTCCATTAAGTAATAAGCTACTTGACAATCCTAGGTGCTCTTTCAAATAGTTTTGCATGTTATCATTTGCAGAAGCATTATCTAAAGTGAGAGAAAAAACTTTTCTTTCTATGCCCCATTCTCGTAAAAGTTTCATCACCTTCAATGCTAATTGAGGTCCCGAATGTGGTGGTTTTAAATGAGCAAATGCGAGAATTTTATTATTCAGGTTCCAATTCACATCAACAAAATGAGCAGTTAAAGAAATAAAACCATGATTTGTGCATGAAGTCCAACAATCAGAGGTAAGACAAATTCTTCCTGAAATTTGAGCCAATTGTGACCTTAACCTTTCTTTCTCAACCTTATAAATTTCCATTGCATCAGCTTTAATGGTATTTCTAGAAATCCACCTACATTCCTCATTCATGAACTTTTGGTATTTTCTAAAGCCTTGCCACTCAACTATATTAAATGGGGCACCATGTGTAATTATCATTTCAGCTATAATTTCTCGATTAACCTTCTGGTCAAACTTTCTTCTTTTCAATTTTTCTTCCATATCAAGAATGCATATCCCCCACATTCCCATGTTTCTCAAGAAGAAACTTACAAGAATCAACATGACGAATTAAATGTGTGGTTCCACCGGTAGCTTTACAACCCAAATTAGAACCACAACCTTTGCATTTACACTTTTCTTTTCCATCAATACCAATACCAATCTTTATAAGGCGGTTCTACACATCAGATGTTAGTGCCCTCTTCTTTTTTTCCTTTGGTGTCGTAGTGGTATCTTGTGTATTGGCTATTGGAGATTGATTAACTTGTAGTAGAGGAGTTTCTAAAATTTGAAGGTCATCATCATCTAAAACTACACTTTTTCCAGCACCATAAATATTCATATTGAGACACTAAATAAAAAAGAAGCACATAATTATTAAAAAGATAACTAAATACAAGAAGAAACATAATTATATTGACATTATTCAGACTAGTGTGATAAATATAAGAAGAAATAGACATTATTCATGACCCAAATTCTAAATACAAGAAGAAATTATGCAGACTAGTGTGATAGAAGATATAGACATTATTCATGACCCAAATTCTCATATAACATAATAATAGTTACCTTGAGAAAATATGTGGAGATTGATTAACTTGCAGTGGAGGATCAATTATTCACAATACTCAAGTTACTTTAGGTATCTTCAGTAAATTCAATATTCCTGCAATGAAAGCATCAACTTTCCCACGAATTGATGCATCAATTATCACGCAGTGAAAGCATCCTGCAATATTCAAGCAGGTGTATTTAATAGAAATAGATTCAAAAGATTCATGACATTCAAATCCAAGAGAAATTGTTCCCTCTTACCTTAAACATTTGCCACATATTTTTTCACCAGGTACATCATGATTGGACTAGCTATCCAGAATATTAATGAAATTAGTAACAACATTGGGGTATTGATGCAGTGTAGAACTGAATCAGTGAGAGTGCATCATCATTGTCGTATTGGTTGTGCCGCGGCCGCACAGTAACTAGGGTTAGAACTTAGAAGTTAGAACATAAGGTTTGAGACATACAGTGTGTTGTATATAATATTATGTCTTTAATTTAAAGACTAGAAGTTTAACCAATACATATAGTGTGTATTAGTGTATATAATAAAACCTGTTGGCCGCACCGCACGCACAGAAGAAAGTTGATATAATATTGTATCAGACAACAGGTTTGATACAGTGTGTAAAATACAGTGTGTATATTTTTCTATTTTGTATCAGTATCAGACAGGTTGCATTTATTTTTAATATTTATTTTTAATTTTTAATTTTTATAAAATAAATGGGCTACCCGTAACCCAGTCGGGCTAGCCCGGTTAGAGTTCGGGCTTCAATGGGTCGGGCTAAAATAGCCCGGATGATAAACGGGCCCTAATTTTCTTGTCCAAACCCTTTATTTTTTCGGGCTTTTCGGCCCGGCCCGGTAGGCCCGACCCATTTTGCCATCTCTAATTACGACTCTCCATGGGTCTCACATCCCATTCACTGCCAGATTAACTTTCCCGTGCACCAACAACGAAGCGAAATATGAAGCATGCATCATGGGTTTAGAAGAAGCCATCGATCTGAGGATCAAGAATCTTGATGTATATGGTGATTCAGAGCTTGTTGTTTATCAAATCAAAGGAGAGTGGGAAATCCGACAGCCTAATTTGATTCTCTACATGAACTATGCAAGAAGGTTGTTGCCATTCTTCGATCGGGTAGAGTTCCATCATGTGCCACGAGCAGAGAACCAGATGGCAGACGCTCTGACTACGTTGGCTTTGATGTACAAAGTGAACTTCTGGAATGATGCTCCCAGAATTGTCATTTCTCGCCTCGATAGACCGGCATTCGTATTCGCCATTGAAGAAGTTGCCGATGGCAAGCCGTGGTTTTATGATATACAGAACTTCCTCAAGAAACAAGAAGACTCTGAGGAGGTTGTCTGGTAACTTCTACCTGAACCCAGATGGTGTGCTTTACAGAAGGAACCATGACCTGGTGTTGTTGAGGTGCGTGGACGAAAAGGAAGCACCATTGCTTATGGAAGAGGTCCACGAGGGTACTTTCGGTACACATGCCAGTGGGCATGCAATATCTTGGAAACTACTACGAGCAGGGTATTATTGGTTAACCATGGAATCAGATTGTTTCAAATTTGCGAAGAAATGCCATAAATGCCAGATTTATGCAGACAAAATTCATGTACCGTCGAGCCCGTTGAACGTTATGGCATCCTCGTGGCCTTTCTCTATGTGGGGCATTGACATGATTGGCAAGATTGAGCCAACCGCCTCCAACGACCATCATTTCATCCTGGTCACCATCGACTACTTCACCAAATGGGTCGAAGCAGTCTCGTATGTCAATGTAACCAGGCAAGTCGTAGTCCGGTTCATAAAGAGGGACATCATCTGTAGATACGGAGTGTCCGAGCAAATCATTACTGACAATGGTTCAAACCTTAACAATAAGATAATGAAGGAATTGTGCCAAAACTTCAAAATCAAGCATCACAACTCATCGCCTTATCGTTTGAAGATGAACGGCACTATCGAAGTAGCCAATAAGAATATCAAGCAGATAGTGCAAAAGATGGTTGTCACGTACAAGGATTGGCACGAGATGTTGCCCTTTTCTCTTCACGGTTATCGTACGAAGGTACGCACTTCAACCGGGGCAACTCCTTTCTCGCTGGTATATGGTATGAAAGTTGTCCTATCATTGGAGGTCGAGATTCCCTCTTTAAGAGTTATGGTCGATGTCAAGCTCGATGAGGCAGAATGGATACGAAACAGATTGAACCATCTCAGCTTGCTGGATGAGAAGAGGCTAACGTCTATTGCGTACGGTCGGTTGTATCAGAGCCGAATGAAGAAAACTTTCGATAAGAAGGTGCGCCCTCAAAGCTTTCAGATTGGCGATCTTGTGCTGAAAAAGATTCTCCCACCACAATCAGATCACAGGGCAAATGGACTCCCAATTACGAAGGTCTGTATGTCGTACGAAAGGTTTTCTCAAGAGGAGCCTTGTTGTTGTCCACCATGGATGGCGAGGATTTTACATCCCCAATGAACGCAGACGCAGTTAAAAAATACTTTGCTTAAAATGACCCGCTGGACGAAAAAAGAATATCCAGGCAAAAATGGGGCATCCCGGCGAACCATGAAAAAGGATGGGTTCGGGCAAAAGTTAGGGATATAAATGAAAATATGTAAACCTGCAAAGTTGAAAACCTAGAATGACGACTTTGGCAAAAATGGGTATCCCGGTGAATTGAAAACCCGCAAGGGCGGTTCACGCAAAAGTTAGGGGTTGAAAAGCAAATGACTGCGATCTGCGTGTGATACTTCATTTCTTAGTGGATTGGGAGAACATGAGGGTCGTTCATCTAAATCAATCTCTTCTGAAGACGGAGCATCGGGGAAGCATCGAAGTCAGGCGAGTCATAAAGGGGTCAATTCATGGTGTTCGTTTGCACCACATTGCCGACATGTTTGTACACTTTTGTATATCTTTGTACATATCTGTATTTGTTTTTGCGCAACTTCCTCTTTTCAGGGGTTGCATCTGTTGTAAAACTTTTCCTATTCACATGCCGTTTATCAATAAACATATATTATTCAGTAATCTGTTTGCTTTGTTTTAACTTTTACTATTTTATTTGTGAAAAACGCCCGATGTTTTTGATAAACTTGCACATGTATAAACTTGCAGGCCTTGGCCGATAATCGTTAAAAATTTGATTTAACTGAACAACGTCACGAATGATGACTGAGATAGTGCCTTTCGTGTAGGATATCTTATCTGTTTATTCATTTTTGCAGGGTTGTTACCCTTGGGGAAAAGAGGTATGGATGAGAGTAGCTTTCTCCCCAACCAGAGTCCATTCCCTAGCAATTGGAGTTTGCGTCTCTATCCCCAGTGGAGTTGTATGCTTGGTTAAAGGAGTAGTTAAGTGTGTATTTGTATCCTCGACAGTTGGTCGATATACATTTGATCTTCACAGATTGCATGTATGTGCCTACTCCCCAGCAAGGCAAGATCGGATTTCCCTCCACCAGATAGGTGTGGAATCGTTCCCAGCCGTGGGTTAGCACGCAGTTTCTCCAGCAGATTGTCTGTAAGTATTCACCTCTCAGCAATTCAGACTGAGGTCTCCACCAGAGTTGATTCCCCCTGTCGATTTGGTGATTCCCCGACAGGTAAGATGTGATCCCAGTGTCCGGTCATCTTTCCTTAGCAAAGTTTTGGTTCCCCGGAAGAGTCGTATCCTGGAAGGCTATTCATGGCAGTTGATATTCCCCGTCGAGTGAGTGGCTGTTTAGCAGGTCGTTTGCCTCCCCAGTAGATTCGTCTATTTCCCCATAAGAGGTCATATTCCGGAAGGTTGTCCACGACATTTCCCCCAGCTGAGTACTCCCTGTATCGGAGTTAGGTCTTTGCAGTTTCCGTCGTTTTTCTCCAGCAGAGGTGCCTGTTCCCCAGAATGTTATATTCTGGCATGCTATTCAGGGCTGATGTCCCTAGTAGAACATGGTTAATCTCGGAAGATGGATTGTTATCCCCCGCAGAGTCGTTGATTCCCTAGTAGGCAGATGGGTTCCCGTGTGTGATGCTTTTTCCCCGGTAAGGTCGCATATTCTCTAGGAGGTTTGTATTCTAGAAGGTCATTCATGGGATTTTCGTCAGCAGGATTTGATATAATCCCCAGCAGAGTAGAACTACTGACTGGTAGATCGGTTCTATCTCCACAGCAGGTTCATCTGTTATTCAGGAAATTTCTTTCAGGAAGCTATTCAAGGCTTGCTTCCTCAGTGTAAGCCCAATGATTATTGGCACGTGTAAGCTATCCCCAACAGGGTCGTTTTCTTTTCCCAGCACGGTGGTTTCTGTATCTCTAGCATTTATTTTGCTGATTCGGTTTCGTTACATTTGCATGCGTGCATAGCATCTACCCAAATGTGTAGCATTTCCATTTCGTATGGAGCATTACACCATATTCAAACACGTGCATGCGAAACATAAGCCAGGTTG